ACCGCTCTACTTCCTCTTCTTCCTGTTAATGGCTTTGCTGTTGTGGAAGTGGAAAAGCCTTAAAAGAGGCTCCTTTGTGTTGGCAGAAGCGTTTTCTCTTGAGTAGAGTAGAACCGGCCTTGAGAAGAGGCAAAAAAGTCCTCCTCCTCCTCCTTCTCCTCCTACACCCTCTCTTCACTTAAAGCTACTCAAAAGTGAGTTTAAACGCCGCTTCGTCGACTTCCTTTCGAGCACTCGATCGACTGGCAGTGGAAGGCAGCAGAAGGCTGTTGGAACTTACCTATCTCCATGGACAGCAGACAAAAGCACTGCAAGCCATAGCGCTGATTCTTTCGCTATTCGTGGGGTTGTTCAACCACTGTGGAACTTCACTCGGGGTGATAAATGCAAGCACTGACCTCTACCTCATTCTTGCCGAGAAAGAAAACCCGACAGGTGTGAAGGCAAATTCCCAAGCATTAAAATGTCAGCATTTGGGCATTTGGACATCTGCAAACTGATAGACTTGTCCGTGGGAGGTGGATGTCGACACCACCTGCACATGCCACCTCATGACACCACACCACACCACACCACACCACACCACACGATGCCACACAACACCACAACGCTCGACACCTTCAAGTTAACTGGTTGGGTTGGTGGTAGTTGGGAGTAGACTGCAGGAAGACAACCAATCTAACGTCGACTAGTGGACGAGGGTGCTGAGAGTACTCGCCACCGGATGACGCTCAACACATCACAGCCCCTCTTCCACGCACGTGGGTTGCACAGCACTCGCGATTGCCGACCACTGCTGAGTTACAGGCGATGCTGCTGCTGCTGCTGCTGCTGTGGTTACGGTGGTTAACAGCGTTTGACGAATTTGTCCAACGTGATGAAAGAACCGCCTTTAAGCCATCTCTCCCTCTCCCCTCCGCTCCCCTCTTCCTTCCTTACCTCCCTCCATACCTCCTTCCCTCCCTCCCTCCCTCCCTCCCTCCCTCACTTCCTCCAGCTTCCTCCCCTTTCTCCACCCTCTGCGGAGCAAAATGTCAGCAATCAGAGGTGGAGAATGTGGGCAAAAACGGTGTGGCAACTTTCTCCGATGACTCACTTTACGTCCACTTCAATGGTGGGTGTAAATTTGTGAGAAAATGTAACTGTACACCACGTTGAGGTGTTATTCACCCAAAATGGGGCGAGGGAGACATCCGTCTGGAGTGCATCCACCGTGTCATCGTGCGGCCTTACAGTGCGAATGTGGGAGGAGAGGTGAGAGGGCGTCAGTGACAAATCACTGCTTCCGTTCCTCCACCTTGCTTTGGCCTTAGCGTAGGTACGAGCCTTTCAGTCGGAGCTGCTGTTTTATACCAGAGCGTGGAATTCCTTGCCTGTGGATGACTTCCATCTTTTCGAAATGGATAAAATTGTGTCGCCATATTGTGTGGTGGGTAATTAATCAGATGGAACAAGCAAGTTGGCTAAGTTTGAGCGATTCCGCCTTCTGCTTTTTGAAGCAAACGGACAAACAATGAAGCAGACAAACTGCTGAGCGCTTTTTTCCAACACTTTGGAATGAAGCACAATTTTGGCGTTTCTAATCAGTGCTGGGTTGACTGGACAGATGCGAGGAGATGGAATGCTTGTCGTAAAGCACACGCCAAATTGTTGGCGATTATCTGAGAAGGGTCTTTTGAATACTCTGGCTTAGTGGTGTCGGTGGAGAGCAAACTGCCCCCTCTCCTTCCCCTCCCCGCTCCGAGACCAGATTGAGGTGCACCACATTGGTTGAAGGGTTGACAAATCGAATGGTCTCAAAAGTCCTTCAGCATCGTCTCCGCACTTCTCAAATTTGCACCCTTTGTCTGTTTATTCACCTTCCAACAAAGGATCGCAGCAAATCGTTGGCTGTTAACGGATTACTTGACGTTAGCCGGAGAGGTAGACGCGTGATCCAGTTGTCTTGACGTAAGGAGGCTATTTACCGACTGCTGTGAGATTTGCCCAGCGAACAGGGTGGTGAAGGGAAGTCAGGGAGGATCGGTGTCACCTATGAGCCGTGACACACCTCTGAACTTGGGTGGTCGGTTTTTTTCTGACATCTTGCCCAGGAAAGTGTAAAAAGGTCAACAGAAGACGAGAAGCAAAGCAATTCTGATAAGTTAGCGGACTTGATTTGAGGGAAAATGTGTTGATAATCAGGCGTCGCCATTGGAGTCCATTTCTTGGGTCCTAACTGAGGATTGAATTTTCGAGTGTCTTTTCGGTAATGCCAATTTCTGAACGTCCTAAATTGTTTCTTTTTTACTCTGCATTTGTCGGGAGCCTTGCTTGGTAATATTTGGGTTCGTTTTATCTTTTTCCGCTGGGTAATATGCCACGTTTTATTATACCAATGTTCGTTAAACTAAGGTTGTTAAAATACTTGTTTTTAGACACCGGACCTTGTTTCGATGACTGCATCCAACAGGAGTCCGCAAAGGGGGTTGTCAGATTTAATTGTCGTTTCAAACGAGAGTAAGTTTTTCTCTCATCATTATTTCTTTCACTTCCTTTTATTTTATTTTTATTTCTTTATTTCTTTTATTCAGCTCGACATACTTTTAAATTTGTGGAAGCTTTTCTGATCTATTGCAAAAAACATTTCACTTTCTTGTCTCGAATTGATTCACATCTGCCTAGGAAATAAAGTATCCTTCCGGAATATGTAATAAACTATTGCATAATTCACAAACTATTTCTGTCGCAGATATTGAAATTTTGGGAAAATTGCGTCCAAGTCGAGTCATTACTTCTGGTTAGTTCTAGTACCTTCGTGGTTCAGAGGGACACTACATCTCTGATAGTAAGGTAGCTCCCAAAATAAACCATCAAGCCAGCTATACGGATTGTTGAAAAATTCGACTAAATACCTCCAACCTCTTTCTCTCTTTTGATCTTCACTGCTTTCGATGATTCAAGTCGGTGGTTTGTGGATCCCCTAGGTTTTCCTTTTAGTGTCAAGAAGAGTTAGTAAAAAAAGATTTTTTTATAATTGGAGCAATTTTTTACTTAATTCCCAAAGCTTGGACTGTTGACTTTGTTAATTCTCCCGAGGGTACTTATTTTTGTCCAATATTTATGAAATCAATTGTGCGAGTTTTCGATTTTTTAAGTGAGAAGCTTGAAAGTAGGCTACATACCTACAAAAACTGCTGTCAGGGAATTCACTGCTCTTAAATAAGTGATTATTCGCCGAAGAATGCTGAGATTTTACGCCTTTGTTTAGATATATCAACGATTATTTGCTTGGTTTTAGGGCGTGCTTTCGAATTCCGAAAATGAAATGGGTGGGATTAGGACCTATCAAGAAAAGAAATTAAATAGGGGGATGAATTTTTGCACTGAAAAATGAAAATGGTCCTGACGGTCTTTTAAATACTCTAAAATGAGCCAACAACGATTTGGAGCGGTATTCTCGACCAGGTTGTGCCACCATCTACGTGAGATTTCCTTAGCATAATTTAAATCCGAATATAATTCCCATAAACATACTATGAGAGACGGAAGAATGCTTTTGATTACAGCCGGCTGTCTGCAACAAGGCGCCTCAGAAATTGAGTCACCGTGACGTTAAATAATTCACCCTTCTCCTGGGCATTGCGTATAGTCATAGAAATCCGTTGGGATGCGGAATTTCAGACTCTCTGTATTAATCTTTTAATGTGGAAAAAATGATACTAAGGAGGAATTAAACGGATGTGGCAAGTAATTTATTTTACCTGGAATGCTACCGAGGCAGAAGATTTGTCTGTTTGGCTAAAACAAGCTTAGAATACTGTGAATGTGCCAACTGTTAAAATTACCCTCGAGCTATGACGTTAATCGTTTACACGTCAAGAACTTGGTTTTGTGTGACACCACGATAAAGTAGACCTTGACCACGGATTCAGAAGCATTTGAGCGCTTCACGCATAGAAAGATTGCAGTGACGACCCAGTGACAGTGAGTAGGGTACCACTGCTATCTAACTATAATGTTTGGGACCCTTTCTTTTCACAAAGGAAACCTTTTCACCGTATGCTCTGCTCTTGTTTCCGTCATCTTGGTGAACAATGTCGGAACACACTTCAAGTCAGATTCATCATTTTTGGGCAAAATTCCAGGTTTAAAAGGAACGTCCTTAAAAGTAACTATTAAAAAAGGTTATTAAATGGTTTAGGGGGTAGAGAAGATACACGCAGACACACACACACACACTTTTATCATCGAATTCTCTATCACTGCCCCCTTTCACCCTATTATTATCATCAAATACCGGGAAAAATGCACAAAAATCTCCGGTTATACAACTTTCTTAACAAGTCTTTTCAAGAGGAAAGGTAAAGGGGTGGAAAGCATGATAATATTAATAGGGTTGTCTCAAAGACTTTGCCGTTTTTATGACACTGAACGGGTAATAATCGAGTGAAGTCGGCTCTTTTGGTAATTTTATAGCCACAACTGTTCACAACTTTTAAATTGGTGCTCTATTTGCCAAACCCAATTACATTGAATTTGTAGACAGTAGTTTTAAAAAGCGTAAGATATAATAAGTATTGTTGGAGAGGGGAAGAACGAGGTATTCTTCATTTTTTATCGCCTATGCTGTGACATTAATTTTCAGCATCAAAAAGTTGTAAAAGAAACAACAGAAAGTTGTTTAGGTTAAAAGATCTTGCAAAGCCAGCATTTTATTACTTCTCCTTTGCAATGAAAACAGGTGATTAGAAATAAAACTACCAGTGGGAAGGTATCTCGACTAGAGCCTAATTGTCAGGCGTCGTCAAACTTATTGCTAAAACTTCTGTGTCGTCGAAATGTTTTTTCACGTCATTTTTTTCGGCTCACCCAACTATTGCATTGCTTTGTGCGTATGGATAAACAGTGGACTGAGAGAGGTGGCGCTTAGTTTACCCTTCGAAGACGCCAGGTGCCACACGGGTCAGGTTGTACTGTCATGCTTGGTAGAAGAGTGAAAAGTCCTGCTCAGTAGAAATTTTATTTTGATACTAATGTTTTGAAATTTTTATTTTTTAATTGCCATTTTTAGGGTTGTATTTATTAGTCCTCAGATGGTTAGAATTTGGGTAAGAGTGTGGGGGGAGTAGGGGGTACCACTCCTTTGTTGACAGGAAAAAGACCTATAAAGCTTTCACTGATATAGGAGATGGGGTGAAATGGACTCATTTCTGGTAAAATAATGGAACTTTTACGACCCGCCTTACTCCTGGACATAGATAAGTATCCACTATGGTGAGTGTCACATCACTCAAAATCCACGGCTGTAAATTATGCCCAGAGAAAAAAGTGCTTTTCCTATTAGTAGGAAGATTACTTATTTTATTTGAGGAAAAGAGACGAAGCAATCTATTTTTATTTGACCACCACCCATACTGAATTTCCAACTGCTGCACTTCATATGTAAAAAATCAAATAATTTTGTTTAGAATCTCAGTATTAAGAACGTTTTTCAAGCATTTAAATTAATATTCAACCTGACACCCTCACTTAATAGTTATCTAGACGGGTAGGGGACTTATAAACTGTCTTTAGTTCATTTAAACTCCAAGTATAATGTGCTATTAATTTGCATATACCCGGCTACATGGGACTACATATATAATAAAATTTATCTCATAAAATTACAGGATCTATATCTGATTTTTAACATATTTGCTCTAACTTTGCTCCTTACTAGTTGAAGATTTCCTATTTTCGATTTTTGGTCTTTCATTGAATTTGTTAAACTCCTTTTTTAATTCTCTTTAAAAGCAGAGTGACCGTTTGCGTACCGTTTGTGTGCCACACCTTTTGCTAAATTTGTTTGTCGACTGTGGGTGGTACGTTGGCTACTGCCCATCACTCACTCCCACTCTTCCCCCCTGCCGAAACTTATTTTTCCTAAATTTTGGACGACCACCCCACTTTGATGTTCGAGTAAAAAGCTCTCACTATGGCAACGGATAAAAGCAGGAAAAAATAGGTTTTCTACCGCATGTTACCGTTACTATGCGGGTTGAAGTGCACGGAAATGGCATGGAACTTTAACCCCTTCTTAGAAGAAGAAGGCTCACTAATTTCTTGGCCTATCATTTTGAAATGGCGAAACAAATTTCTTCTGCTGAATTATTGAAGCACCATAAATTAGAAGGTGCGGTAGGGGGATAGTTGAAAGTCAGTGAGTCTCAGATTGGTTTCTCCCAATGGACTTTAATTATAAATCCGGTGGGCGTGTTTGTCCCCCATCACTTCTGTAATGACTGATGGTGCCAAATCGTGTGTGGCAAACGGAGGAAATAAGGTTAAACAGATTAAGCTGGAGTGAAGTTACTTATTTTAAGAATGCGACTACAACTTTTGATGTTTGGGTCGTTGTAAAATGGGTCGTAGCTGACTGATAAAAGACCTGACCCCCGATGGTCCTTCTCCCCTCGGCCTTCCGGAATCGAAAGGTCGACTGGCTAGCTTTACCAATTATGTCAAGTAGATTCAATCAAGTTATGCGTATTTTGGTTTCCAGTCGAAATCACAAATTTCCCGAAATTTTGAAGAGCAAAAGATTTTGAATCAGTGCGGCTTACATCATTCATTAAAACAGGAGGCTGGTTCAATTTTCGGCTTTATAAATGACAAAATTTGTAAAATAGTCAAATTTACGGCATTATTTAAATAATCGAAAGTCTATTAGACTTTCTTTTGATGATTTAGTAACTCCTTTTTTCTAATAAACAAATAATAATTTTCTAAAGCTTTAAGACTTTTTCCGAAAAATAGCCTATCTATAATTTTGTTTTTCATTTTACAGAAAAGGGTATGGCTGCACTATTTATGTTTTTCCACTATTTTAAATGCGTAATACCTTGATATATAGCGTCTTTAGAAATCACTATTTCTTCACTAAACCGTAAACCAAACTTGCTGCTTTTTACTAGACTTTCCTCTGCCTGCTTTTGTGAGGCTGTTTAATTTTTTCAAAGTGATCAAAAAGGCATTATTCTTGTGTGATTCGGAGGGAATTACACTTGGGCACTTTCGTCAATGGTAAATATGTAAATTTATACCCACTCAGCCAATAGGCTGCCATCCGCTTGGATTAATTCCCCCTTTTTTGTTTTTAAATTAAAACCAACTGACTTACTGGATCTTGGTGGGGGTGTAATTGAACCAGGTTGTCCCAACCTAACCGCCTCTCACGCGCACACTGCATTCGCGTGGGGTAAAACAATCCTCCATAATCTAGGTCATTCAATTTGATATTCTACCGCCTCTACATTATATAAAACTTAATTCTTTGGTAGTCGGTGTACCCAACTAGGCAGACTTTGCAACGCATCAATTCTAGGTCCGGTTTGGATACCAACCAACTCAATGAAATCTGTCCCCACCTGTCATTTAAAAGTGTTTTCTAGATAAGAAACTGTTTACTGGATCCTCAGTTTTACTTCCTAAACCTCTGACTTAGCGGCGTCAATTTTGCAAGGGTTTATGATTACGAGATGGTTTGAGGCACCATTTCTGCCGGATTGTGGAGGGTTGAACGAAATCCCGGATTTTATTTACCAAGTGAACTCCACCATCCATTTCGTTGCTTCAATTGAGCACATTTGTCTCCCAAAAGCAATAAGTTGTGTTCTACCAAAAAAGGGCAGTAGAGGAAAGCCGACTGTACCGATTTATACCGCCGCAATATTTCAACAGCTTAGCATATCACGGATTCAGTTTTTTCCAGTGAGGCGCCAAAATGTAATGTTGGTGTTTTTCCATCCTAAATTGCATGCAGCTATTTGTCTTCCTCAGTGGAATGCTTCTCAGTACGAACAAAAGTGGTGGCTAAATTTGGTGAACATTCAAGGATGGTGGGTCGATTCACGAGCAGCGATTCGGTAGTAGAGGTTGGGAAGGGCCATCAAATTACCAATCCGCCATGCATCCATAAGTCCTGTATAAATTCAATCATTCCATGTCCATCCATTCAGTTTCCACACATTCGTTTACACATTAATCCACCCATCAATTCAATATCCCTCCATTCATCGATTCATTCATCCATGCATCCACTGTCCATCCATGCATCCACTGTCCATCCATCCATCCATCCATCCATCCATCCATCCATCCATCCATCCATCCATCCATCCATCCATCCATCCATCCATCCATCCATCCATCCATCCATCCATCCATCCATCCATCCATCCATCCATCCATCCATCCATCCATCCATCCATCCATCCATCCATCCA